TTCCGGTTGATTACTTCAACCTGATGTCGAATATCAGAAGTAACAAGAGTATTCTGTCTTCTCTTTAAAAAGTCAAGCCTCTACCATTTGTCAAGTTATACTCAGTTTTTTTTTTAAAAACTGTGATGTTTTTCTCAATTCTCACTATTCAATTCAGCCATTTGATATTCTACTCAAACCATTTTTTTGGGCAAGAAATTTTATTACCAAAATAAAGATAAAGTACAATGAGCTTAAGGCATGGACCTATAATTTTACTACCAAATTAAGACCGGTTTGTGGTCTACTCTACGCAAACCTTGTAATACTAGCCCACGTTCAAACCAATCACGTAAAGTAACAATAACAAGACTACAACTTGTGATCCAAAATAACAATAACTCGAGTTCATGAACAAATCAGTTCCTAACCTCAGTTTCAAACTGATCTCAACAATGTCAATGAAGCTGAGCAAGGAGTTCCTGAACATGTCAACCCTGACAAAGCATATCAAACTGGAGCTGGAAGCTTACCTGCCATTGATGCTGAGCAAGGAAAAGAAGTCATAGAGAACCTTAATGACAAATCAGCAAATGTGGGTTTGACATGTAAGCCTGTGCATCTGTCGACTAATTGTCACTCCACTGGGAAAGATGATAGTGTTAATTTGGAGCACCGACAAGAATCTTGCCCCAAGGTTTGTGTTTTTAGCATGTTATAGTTTGATAGCACCTCTCTCTTTCTATACTAGTGGGTCAAAAACTACTGTCTTCCTGTATATTTTTTAAGAGCAATAATGCAGTGAACCAGAAGATATGTCTAAAGATGAGCTTTATGGCTTTGTTTTATCTTACAGCACATGATTGTGTCATGCATACAATTTTTTTTTATATATTTTTCATGGATGGAAAAATCAGATCTTGCCCCATTGTACTTTTTACGTGTCTTACTTGATGCCCTGACTCTAGGTGGGGACCAAATTGGAAAGCAAACTTGCAAAGCCCAGATTGAAGTCTTCCACTCAGGTTCAGAGAAATGTTTCTAGTGAGCCATCTAAATGCTCTGCAAAGAAACATATTAGATCAAAAAGCGAAGACTCACAGAGCACAAAAACAGAAAAACACTCATCGCACACAGCCATTCTAACCACACGTTGGGTATGCAGAACTTCAAAACCAGAGGCAAGTATTTGTTTATGATCTATAAGTACCTCTGAATATACCGAAGTAATGGTTCCAATAGGATGTTGCCCTGACCCAAGTTAATGTTCTTAAAATGACAATTATGCATTTTGTTTTTTTGTTTTTGTTTCATTGATATTTTTAAGTAGCATTCCTTTATTTTGGAATATTGTTCATTTGTTCTTCCCTCATGTTATTGGCTGGTATTCTTAACAGGATCCTAAGAGTTCAAAGTCAAAAGTTATTCATGATAACAGAAGGTATTTATTCCTTTCGAATTTCTGCACAAGGAAAATCTATATCTGCAATGGGTATGCTGCTAAAAAATACTTCTCATTAGCAGTGAAAAGGAATTAAAGACAAAAAAGGTTGTTCATGAACCTAAGCCTTCTGCCTCAGAGAAGCTTGTTCCTAAAGCACGTCAGAATGCAAACAGGTTTATGAAACATCATATACAATGCTTCATTACTTGGATGTTTTGACCTTCTGAGGTTTGGCATAGAGTTACTGTTGTGCAGGCCCAAGCAGGTTGAGAATTCAACTAAGTCAGGCATGAAACAAAGCTTGGTTGTGTTCAATTTCAAAAGTGAGGAACGGCAGAAAGGAGGAAAGAGGCAAGAACTCATGCTGTTTATTAATTTTTATTTTAAAAAAAAAAAAGAAAAGGAAAAGAATCATGGCTGTGACTTGTTCATTTGTCTGTTTTCCTCTTTCATCTTAGTTTTACATGAAGTTGGGGGAGAAAAAGCATGCAAAGAAGGCCGGGACAAATCAAATTCAAGCAAATAAACTGGTACATAAATTCAATGCAATAGTTATCTAAAGTGTACGGTTATGTCACAGAACCTACAGTGCTAAAGGAGAAAGGATAGATAACAAAAGGATGCAAACTTGCAGGGAATTAGTTTGTCAATGAAAAAATGCCAATATGAGTAATTGCATGAACATTATGACCAATTTACCTGAATTTGCACCTTCTTAACTGCCTCTGTAAGCAACTGACACCCCACAATATCCTGCACAAACCAGAGAAAGTTCTCACCAGCGATTTTATTTTTCTAGGAATAGCAATTACATCAGTCAACATTTCAACATTTGAGTATAAGGAATAGTTTAATCAGTTTATGCCTAAGTAGCGAAGCAAAGTTGATAACTAAATCTATGCAACGACTCACCCGGAGTCTGAAAAATAACTTGTGTAGCTGTGTAGCTCTCTCATTATCAACTTGGGGAATTATAGATTTGAGCAATTCAGCAAATTGCACTCTAACTTGACACTCAGGTTGGCTACCTTTTGTGCATTTAGTATTCAACTTCTCTAGTATTGAATGTTGGTGTTGGTTACCGAGAAACTGCTTTTCCATATCTGGGATGTTGGAAGGGTTTTCTTGAGAAACCTGGATCTCTTTAGTTTGAAGGAACTGGACAGAATACTAGCTCATATTAGAATATCTGTAGTCTTCATAACTACAAATATTCTTACAAAATTATAATATTTACAAAATAACTACAGATATTCTTGGATTAAATATTCATCCTGACAAGAATATTTATAATTTTGTAAACCACAAGAGTCCATTCATAGTTTAAACAAACTTTTGGGATATATTGTAATTTAGAACATTCAATAATTAGAAAAGATAACATGCAAACACTAGCTCATATTAGATATAGCAGAAGCCAAGTTCAAACACAGCTTTAAAAACCACAAAAATGTGAGTTGTCTACTAGAGATCATAAAGACCACCACAAGATTCATACTTGACTGATGAAAAGCCAACATTCAACCCCTATCAAAGTTGGCCGACACATTCAAAACTTGGTAAATAAGAAAGCATTGTATATAGATGATTCACTAATCAAAAAGTGAGAAACCCATATCTTCATCTTCACTCTCCTCTTTCTCTTCCTTCTTCTCCTCAGCTAGAGGTGCTTCAGCAGCTGGGGCTCCACCTCCACCTGCAGGAGCTGCAGCAAAAGCGACACCTCCACCTCCACCACGTCCACCAATAATCACCTACAGTCGAATCAGTTTAGCAAAATATCGGATGGCTTTACAGATCATGAAAAGGGGCCACAAAACAATGAAACAGAAATTAGTATCAAAAGGCACCACATGGACTTGGAATACCCATTGTAGCTTTCTGGTGGCTTTTGAGTTCAGTTGGTTGGCCAAGTTCCTTAACAAAATGCCTCCACTTCAAACAAATATTATCTTTCGTTTTACTGAAACTCTACGCTGTAATATATAGAATAACCTTACATAGTACTTTTACCTTGTTAGTTCTTCTTCTTCTTCTTATTCTTCTTCTCTTTCTTTGAAAGGTGAACCTATATTTAATAAGAGCAAGTATTGTAATTAATAAGATATGTTATTTGTCAAAAAAGCTTTGATTAAATGATTGCTCACCGCTTGGGATGAAAATGCATGAGATTGTTGTTGATGTGACATTGGCCGAACAGTGGGATGACTACTAAGTGAATCCACAACCTATCATTCAATAAGAGACTTAAGTTGTATATTAGCTTTAGGCAATTTAAAGTAATAACTAGTAAAAATAATTAAAATACCTGCTGCCTATGTAATGAGTTTGATGGTGCAACAACTGGGTCAACGGGCACGCCTGCAGCTTGCAATTGAGATTCCAAAAACTGAATTCGTGACTGAAAATCTGTGCGTATAGCCTGAATTTGTTTCTCCATTACTTCATTCATCTTCGACTCAAACTGCATTTGATACCGATGAAGTTGCTCTTGAACTTGTTCCTGAACTTGAGTTTGGAAGAGACGATTCTGCTCTTGTGACCGCCTATATCCACCTCCAAAAACATCAGTGGGTGACGGTCCCAATCCAAACGTCCGAACACGGCCAGGTCGCTCTGGGCCCATAACTTGTGTGAAGATTTGCTCCTGTAATGCTGCAGGGTCAGTAGAAGATCCCTCCATGTGCTCTGCTAACTCATTCATTTGAGTCTGCAAGTTTGAATTCAATAATTAGCCTCCAATATAAATATAAATCATATTAAAAGTCCAAAGATAAAGTAGTATCACATACCATAACCTCATTAACTGAATCACTATTTGACATCCCATCTTTCATGTATGCGGCCATCCACACCTGTGACCGACTAGCAGGAACCCCATTGTTCTTTTTGGTCTCCTATAAATGAAAGACAACCAAAATCTTAAGATAAATAAGAAAATTAAATAATTAAGCAATTAAATATGTGAACAAGTTAAGTAAATAAAATAAACAACTAAGCAAATAACATCTGTTTTTGTAGAACTGGTATAAATTCATTATGGTGAAAATTGTTGACACCTTTTTAGCACATATAGACAGATGTAGTTGACAAAGAATGAAAATGATGAATGGAGAGAATAATTGTACCTCCGTCGAACTACTGAGAAAGGCTTTCGGCCTGTTCTATGATGTAATGTCTTCTTCTTCCGGATTTTTCTATTCTTCTTGCTTGATTTCTGTCAAATATGAAATTTATTTAAGATGTTATAAACAATTATCATATATAAACATTTTTTCACATAAATAAAATTTTACCGATGCACTCTGAGTGCCCCAATAGTAGACCAAAGCCCGCCACTGATCCTCATGTACTCTATCTGGTCGATGAGCCAACCTTTCTGCATCATTCTTGAAGGGTTTGTATCCCATTGTTTTCACTCGACTTTTCCAATCTCTCCATTTCTTTCCAAATGAAGCCATTATTGCTCTCTTCATGGATTCATCTGCATCCGTATGAGTCTGCATTACAATTACAGACACTTGTAATATGCAATGTCAACTACACTTGTAATATGCATTTCATATGGAATACAATTGTAACTTATTTCATATTAAATATCCATATATACCTTTATCTCCCTCCATATGTTATCTTTGTTTTGTTTTGGAACATAATGCCAAGTCGTAAAAGTGAGTGGTGCAAGACTCCCATCTCGTGCCAATACGCCCAAATGTGAAGCAAGGGATGTGTGTCCTTCAACTACTTGATGCAACTCATTTGGAACAACTTTTAAAATGCCATCATCACTAGTACCCCATTGACCATGCACATATGTGGGACCCCTTGTCTGCTTTTGTGTGGCTTGACTTGAGCTAGGACCTACAAAACAATAGCAGTAAGCTTCATATCAGTTTCTTTATGCTTTTAATTTCAACAAATTTCAACATATCATACCGTGGGGTGTTAAAATTTTGCCATCCTTGCTTCTATACCACACATTATGCTTTTAATTATCCAAACTCAATTTTTTTTAAAATAACCATGCATGATGTATGATAGATAGGACTACAAATCTAACTCAAAAACACCATAAGAAAATATCAAGCAAAGTTGATACATACCAGCTGAAACAGAGCCATGTGATGTACTACCGCTACGTGATGTGGTAGGAAGACTGCCTGGTGGATGCCATGATGCCGGTGGATTGGGTATGATTTTCATCTTGAGTGTGGTCTGAGTCTCATCTGAACTATAACTACTAGAGCTTGATTGCTCACTTTCACTAGAAGAATGGTCGAAGCTAGAACTCATAGATAATATCTATAAAAAAACTACAAACATAAGAGTAAGGACATGATAATCTATAAATATCTACTGCATTCAAAACAAAATACGAGTACATGAAAGGTAAAAATGGCCATTTAAAGAAAGGTACAAAGGTACAAAAGCAAAGATTTTATTAATATGAATATCCATACAGAAAACACAAATGTAAAAGTGAATATGCTGCCAATTACAATATCATATCAGTTCTTCGTCATCTTCAAATTGTAAAAAGCAGTCTATATTGTAAAAAGCACAGAAAACACATACCGCTCATACCGCTCTGCTCATCTCTAACGAAATTTCGGCAGCATCTCCCCATGGTTCTCCAAATACACGACATAGACTAGGTGTACTGTTACACCTTGTCTAGTATGCACTCGGAGAACACAAGGAGTTGCTACACGAAATCTCTACGAGATGGACTATAAGCAGTAGAACTACTAATTACAATACAGACTTGTGCTCCTGAACTGTCCAACTGGACAATCCAAGAAGAGCTTCATCAAAGATGACTAGGTATCTCTAATGAAGATTCTTGGACGGGTCTAAGGCTATTTATGCATGCATGCACCATTAATGATTGCATCCCGGTGGTGCAATCTAAATTAGTACTATCAAGCATACTAGAAGCATATCTAGTATGAAGCATATTAATGAAGAAACCAAAAGTTTCTACAATGCTCTTGATAGATTATGATAGATTCAAGAAATACATTACTCTCTCAAATCAATCAATAATGGAATAATTTTGGCAGGAACTCATGGATGTGGGAAGTTCAAACCCACTACCCAAACCAATAAGTGTACCAAAGCTTGAATTCTTCTAATCACAATCATAGTTATCCACGTTAATAACTAGAATCACAAAAATATAAGACTCATGTGAGAAGATTGTCTAGCACTCGAGTCAAAAGGGTTTATAAGGAAAAATTCTCTCAAGATGGCAAAGTGTAAGAACAATTTGGGATTGAAGACGATCCAGACCATCCACCTCTAGGGTTTAGAGCACAATTGCCTGAAGAAATTGCTTAACTCAATTAATGGTTCAACCACTTTCTTCGGTAACAAATTTCTCACTGCTATTGGAAGTATTTGTTGCATGAGTATATGGTTATCATGACTTTTTAGTCCAGATATACTACGCTGTTTGAGGTTAACCCGACGAGAAATATTGGATGCGTAACCATCTGGAACTTTGATATTCTTTAGAAGTGTGCAGAATAGACTTTTCTCTCTATTGTTCATGGCAAAACATGCAGGAGGCAAATAATACTTGTTCCCAACCCTTTTCTGAGGATATAGTGCCTTCCGAATTCCCATATCTTGCAAATCTCGACGAGTATTTAAATTGTCTTTCCCTTTCCCATCAACATTTAATATCGTCCACAATACATTATCACACACGTTCTTTTCAATGTGCATCACATCAAGATTGTGGCGAATCAAATTATGCTCCCAATATGATAGCTCAAAGAAAATACTCTTCTTCTTCCAATTATGACCCAAGTCCTCGTTTTCCTCCTTTTCTTTCCCCTTTCTATTTCGTTTGCTAGATTGTTGACGCTTAGAATTCAATTTGAACTTATGGCCTAGTTGTTGTAGCACATTAGCCCCTGATAACCGAGTTGGACATGGTTTGAATTCATGAGTGCCATCAAAAGACGCACTAGCTTTCCGAAATTTGTGACCCCCATTCAACCAGCGACGATGCCCCATGTAACATAATTTCCTTCCATTCTTCAAATATCGAGAACGAGTATGTGTGTTACAACAAGGACAAGCTAAAGCGCCTTTCATGCTCCATCTAGACAAAATTGCATAGGCAGGAAAATCATTTATAGTCCACAATAACACAGCATGCATTCGGAACATCTGATTAGTTTCCGCATCATATGTGTCAACACCGTTTTCCCACAGTTCTTTCAATTCATCCACTACAAGGCGTAAGTAGACGTCAATATTATTTCCAGGTGAAGAAGGACCATCGATGAGCAATGTCATCATCATATGAGGCTGCTTCATGCACAACCATGGTGGCAAATTGTATGGCATTATAATAACTGGCCAACTGCTATGCGAGACATTCATTGCCTTGAATGGATTAAATCCATCCGCTGCTAAACCCAGTCTGACATTGCGCGGCTCACTCGCAAACTTGGGATACAAATTATCAAAATTTTTCCAAACTGGAGAGTCAGCGGAATGTCTCATTTTGCCGTCATCAATTCGGCCCTCTGCATGCCATCTCATTAAAGAAGATGTTTTGGATGACATAAACAATCTTTGAAGCCTTGGAATCAATGGAAAGTATCTAACAATCTTATGTGGAATTCTTTGTTGCTTCTTCTTAACATCATTCTCCTCCCCCTCAAACTGTTTGTATCTAGGCATATGACACACTATGCAATCATCCATACCAGCTGTTTCCTTCCAATATAGTGAACAATCCCTTGGGCATGCATGTACCTTATGATAATCGAGGCCCAAGTCCCTAAGAAGTTTCCTAGTTGCATAAAATGACTTTGGCAAAGTTTCACCCTTTGGGAACGAATCCTTCAAAAGCTCAAGCAACATCGTGAAAGACTTGTCACTCCATCCACTAAGGCACTTGATGTGCAATAACCGAACAATAAATGAGAGCGTTGAAAACTTCTGACACTCAGGATACAACTCTCTTTCGGCCTCTTTCAATAAATTGAAGAATTTTTCAGTTTTCTCATCTGGACCTTGTTTAATACCAAAACTTGCTTCCTCATGAATAAAGCTTGGTGGAGGAAGTCCAAATCCTTCGTATAGCATTTCATAAGTTTCATCACCATCGTTCAAATAAGTTTGCCCGACATTCACATTGTGTGGCACAGGCGATGACAAATTCTCCCCATGAAAAATCCAACTGGTGTAACTTGGAAGAAACCCGTTGATCATTAAATGTTCCCCTAACAGGCCTTTCTCCACCAATTTGACATTACGACACCGTTTACATGGGCATGTGACTTCATTCAACAATGGCTTATTTTCGCATGCAAATTTAATAAATTCCTTAACCCCTTGTATATATTCCGGGTGCAACCTATGCTGATTTATCCAACTTTTATCCATCTGACTCTGTCTTACACTACAAATGTCACTGCCAAATCAACAAAGTTCAAAATTACCGTTCCATTTTAATTAATCTTAACCTCAATTCAGTACCTTATAATGCATGCGACATGACATCATTCACCTCTAACTGGTCTCTAATATGTTGGTTCATCCTACTTTCCCATTCAGGAATGCACAGTCTATATTGTAAAAAGCAGTTCATACCGCTTTGTTCATCTCTAACAAAATTTCGGCAGCATCTCCCCATGGTTCTCCAAATACACGACATAGACTAGGTGTACTGCTACACCTTGTCTAGTATGCACTCGGAGAACACAAGGAGTTGCTACACGAAATCTCTACGAGATGGACTATAAGCAGTAGAACTACTAATTACAATACAGACTTGTGCTCCTGAACTGTCCAACTGGACAATCCAAGAAGAGCTTCATCAAAGATGACTAGGTATACCTTGTGTTCTCTTATCTGTGGGTCTAAGGCTATTTATGCATGCATGCACCATTAATGATTGCATCCCGGTGGTGCAATCTAAATTAGTACTATCAAGCATACTAGAAGCATATCTAGTATGAAACATATTAATGAAGAAACCAAAAGTTTCTACAATGCTCTTGATAGATTTTGATAGATTCAAGAAATACATTGCTCTCTTAAATCAATCAATAATGGAATAATTTTGGCAGGAACTCATGGATGTGGGAAGTTCAAACCCACTACCCAAACCAATAAGTGTACCAAAGCTTGAATTCTTCTAATGATGATGATGATGATGATTCAGAAAACACCAAAGAGCAACCACCAAATGAGGAATCACATTCACAATCACAATTACAATCACAATCACAATCATATTAGTTGAGGAATCACAATCACAATCACAATCATAGTTATCCACGTTAATAACTATGAAGAAAACTTGTTTGAATTGAAGACCAAACTTCACCATATAATACTACAAATCAAGACAAAGTTACATGCAAGACAATTCTTTCACATGCTAGCTAGATGATTATTTATTTATTTATTTATTTATTTTGGGTCAAATAACCCTTCAAATGAAGTTAATTGTATCCTGCACTCTTTCAAAAAGCTTTGGAACAGGAGAAAAAATAACAAGGAGAAACATGGAATTGAAAGTAAAAATAGAGAATTAAATGAGGAATGAAAAGCAACATGACAATGATTCAAGTAGTGGACATGTGTGTATTTTGGGAGATAATAAAGATATATATATATATATATATATATATATATGCGCGCGCACGTGTGTGTATTTTGGGAGATAATAAAGACTTTTAACATTTTCCCTTCATTTTTTTTTTATCATTTCCAACCCAATTAAACCCAGAAGACTTTGAGGCGCATCAGTTCTATTAGCCACTGCTCTCATAACAGACACAGACTCGGCGGTGGAATCCCTTTCGCAACAGCCAAACATAGCAGTATCATTATTAAAGTCTAGTTAATCTCTGGACGTAAATCTGACCATGTATTTTAAACTAAGTGTGTGTACTATTAGAGCAATGTTTGATCGTTGTGGTTGGTCTCTCATAGGCAAAACATCAAACACCTCGTGGCCATGGCGGTAAAGCGAACATAACATCACTTTTCTTCACCCCCATGGCCAGTTTGCTTCTCATTTGTAATTAAGGATCAAGATGAGTTTCCACTTGTTCACAAACATTCAGCTCCCGGCGTAAAAACAGTAATAAATTTAGGCTATGTTTGGTTGTATGATTATTTTTGATGAAATTAAATAAAATAATTTTATTCAAAACACTGCATAAATTATATTGTGAAATCATATGAAGTGAAATATTGAGTATATGATTTGAAATAACCATCTATGTATCAATGTCAAGCTCTTATAAGTTATAACCCTAGGCAACTCAAACCAACATAATAGCATCTTAATCCTAATTAAAAACACAAAGCACAAGCAAGTGATGGCTAGCCTCCACCGTTTGAGAATGTATGATAAACAAAACCATTAACATTTAAATTACCAAGCATATCTAATTTGATAAAAAGGCCAGATCGGCTGTACAAAACCATTAACATTTAAATTATACATGCAAAATGTACAACAAATCAGCTTGTAAAATCACAGCAACAACAAATTCAAGTGAATTGTGAGTAAAATTACAAAGCTGAATCTCTGAATCACAGAGCTGAACTGACAGAGATAACTAGGGTTTAGACAGCACAGAGAGAGAGAGAGGGGGGGAGAGAGAGAGTAGCTCACCGATCTGAATCGATTTTGAGAGAGAACTTCGAAATGGCTCGAATGAATCACCGATCTGAATCGATTTTGAGAGAGAACTTCGAAATGGCTCTGATCTTAGACAGCGCAGAGAGGGTGAGAGAGAGAGGGAGAGAGAGAGAGCGCGAAAGTGAGAGTGAGAGTGAGAGTGCGAGAGTGAGAGTGAGATTGAGAGTGAGAGTGAGAGCGCAAGAGTGAGATGTAATTTTTTTTTTAATCTTCCACGTTCTTCCACATTTTTTTTAATTACTAAAACGTATTTGATTGTCTCAAAATTATATATTTGATTATTATAAAACAAACTTTTTAATTAATTAATTAATGTGAGGGTGAGAGAGAGAGAGAGCGCGAAAGTAAGAGTGAGAGTGCGAGAGTGAGAGTGAGATTTTCGCGTATACTCCTTGCTTATCATATTCAAAATAAAGGTGTAACAGGAGAGGAGGGGATCGAATGAAAACCATTCCAAGGCGTTTAAAAAACGTCTTTGATTCTTGAAACGGCGCCGTTTCAATTACAGAAAAATAAGACGTTTACAAAACGCCGTTATATATTAGAAACAATGGCGTTTTACAAAACGCCGTTAAAAAAGCGCCACCAAACCCCATATTTCCTGTAGTGAGTGAGGCCCATCTATGTTATCTGATATATATGTTTGTATTTTTGCCACATCATTAAAGTATAATTTAAAGTATTATTTTCAGAGTAATTTATCACTACTTTAAGAATAATGTAATATATAGTAATTGATATATTAAATAATGTATTAATAGATGATGTGATATAATTTTAAAATTTTTATAATTTTCATAATGAATAGAATTAATAATAATGTCGTAATATATATTAATATATTAATTGATATATATATAACATTATTGTTTGATTAATGTTACTAATGATAGCAGAGGCAACACGGACTGTCCCTTTCGATATAAATGAGATTTTTTTGCTTACAATTCCTTCACAATCCTCTCCTCCTCTTACCCTATTTAGGCCTAATGATAGGCTAAAAAATAATTTTTAATTTTTTTTAAAAAAAATATGTTAAAAGATTAAGAATTTTTATGATTTTAAAAAATTAAAAATCAAAAAAAAAAAAAATTAATCAACTTGTCAAAATAAACCTTACTTGAGTAATGCTATGTTATCTAAAAATTTTGTCAATATTTTTATTAAATATCACACATGGATATATGAGATTCATGTGTAGCTCACATTCATGTAATTTGATAAAAATATTGATAAATATTGGAGATCCTCAATTTTTTTTAAAAATTCAACTCACAAATTCATACTCTAATCACAATTCTAAAAAGAGAATAGTAATGACTTTTTATTTATTTTAATTTTTTTATTAAATATATTTAATACTAGTCTCATTTAAAGGGTATATTTTTAATGATATTAATTTTATAAAATATTATGAAAATAAAATTAAAAAGATTAAAATAGTTTTTTAAAATTTTATTAGAAGAGAGAGAGAGAGAGATATATAGATAGATAGTGTGTGTGAGTGGTGGACGGGACAGAGAGTGTCAGAGTGTGGAATGATTTCAACATTTTTTTTTTTTTATAGTTAATCTCAACCGTAGGTTTTGTCATGACTGACGTGGTCGAATCTTGTCCGTCGATCAGAGGAAGAGCTGGAGGAGAAAGCTGGAGAGGATCCAGACTCGGAAGAACTACCCCCCATCTTGGGAAGAAGACAACCCGCATTAATTGTAGATTATAAAATTAATTTATTTCAGTTTTTATATGTTTATTTGTATGGAAAAAATTTAAAATTCAGATCTTTACATATAAGTAATGAAATTAATTTTTATTTTAGTTAATCAAACAAATAGAAAATGAAGAAATTTTTTTGATTTTGTGAAAAAAAAATGTAATAATTATGATTTATATGTGATATTTTATTTTTTTATAGACTTTTAACCAAAAAATAAAAAAAAAAACAAAACCAAAACCAAACATAGCTATAACATAGAGAGATAGATAGCTAGATTGGGTTAAGTGGGAATCTTCCCCCCCTTCCCGGCGGGCTCTCTTTCATTTTCCCTCCATTTCCCCCTCTCCTCCTTTTTCCTTATCCCATCATGTCTTTCCTTTTCCCTTCATTTCTTTTTTTTTTTTTTGATTTGATTGAGGATTCTCCCCTCTGTCTGTCTCTCTCTATTTCTCCACACCTCCATTATTACCAAATATTTTCTTTCATTTTTCCCTTCATTTCCCCCTCTCCTGCTTTTTCCTTATCCCATTGTTTCTTTCCTTTTCCCTTTATTTCTTTTTCTTTGGTTTGACAGATCCCTCGCCTCCTCGCCCTCTCTCTCTCTCTCTCTCTCTCTTCCTTGTCGGATTTTTTGCAGGGTAATCTTAGATTTGCAATGGTGGTCTCAAATTTTGCAAAAGTTTTGAAAATGCTAGAGAAAATCAAGTTTAGTTTATTCAGAGGACCTATTTGGTTATCCAGAACCTTCGTTTCGGATTATTGTCCGAATTTATTATTCACGTGATCTGAATGGATATGAGATAATACAACCTATTACTCTATTGCTATTACACTTTGCCTTCTCTCTTTCTATTTGTTTATTTATTTATTAGGTATTACACTCACTTTGAGTGTGTTTGATTTGTGCTTGAAGATAAATTTAAAAAAAAAAAAAAGGGTTGAGAGAGAGAGAGAGTTTAGTAATTTTTTTAGTTTGTTTGATTGTATATTTTAGAAATTGTCTTTGACTTTTGGAATTTAGGATAATTTAATATTTTGTTATAGTTGAGTAGATGTGTGTAAGAGAAAAAGTGATTAAGAAAGAGTAAGAAAAAAATGATTAATTTATATGTAATAGAGAGAAGTAAATTTAGTATTTTTTTGAGAAAATTTGTAATTAAACATGTTTTTTAAAAATTTCTTCACGAATCATGTTTCAAAATACAAACCAAACACACCCTGTATCTTGAGATATAAACCAAACAAGTCCTGTGTTTCTAGGGTTCGTTTGGGATGTGTGCTAGTTTTTTTATTTTTGATATTTTAGATAGGGACTAAAAAGTCTCATTTGAGATAGGCTTTTTGATTTTTTTTTAACTTTTGTAGGAGAAAAAAATAAAATTGTAACGCCCTCAAAATAACACATATAAACCCATAAATCATGCATTCATGATACAAGAAAGAGATATCATATTCCATACATCTGAGTATTAAGTACAGAAGTATTACATGTTGATAACAAAAGTAAATGCCCTACGGGCTTACAACTTTCCAAGTCAACACTTGGGTTCTACAAAAGAAGAGTTCTAACTCTTTATATAAAATAAGCCCTTGGCTTGATTTACATGTAATACAAAAAGATAACAACAAAAAGATCTTTCAGCCTCTAAGCTTCCCAAGTTACATCCTTGGAGGTGGCATACCATCTGTACCTAAAAATGATGTCCCATAAAGGGTGAGCCAAAGCCCAATAGAGATATACTAAACCAAGTATGAGAAATAACCAAAACATTAGCATTCGATAAATGGTTAACACTTGTAAACCAACTTACTACACATCCCAGTTCCATGATAAATACACTCGTGTTTCATTCCACCTTCCTGTACTTGTCCAATTTAAATTTATAAACATGGCTCATTATCTAGCCAAATAGTTAAATGAGACTACAACTCATAATAAAACACTTCCATTACCCACAATTCA